ACTATTAAGAGTACATTTAGGAAACTTAAGTTCCTCGTACTATTAAGAGTACGTTTATAATTTCCGTACTGCTTAAGAGTACGTTTATACATTGAGTCTATTGTGGAGGCCCGGCTTATTACACTGTACAGTACATGTCACCTTCCGACTCCGATGACTCGGAATACGCCCGTCTGCCACCACGACCTCCTTTACTCTTTCCACGCCCACGCTCACGACTGTGTGAACGTGAGCTCTCGTGCGAACGCTTATGGTCCTTGTGTAAGTTTCGTACTAAAGCCTTAGAGTAATTAAACGCTTAGGTTAAGTCTAAGTATAGTTAAATTCGAAATAAATAAACGGAATGAGTCTTTTAGTAAAATTAGGTATGCCTCGTGAAAACAGCAATCCTCTCAGGGATTGTGAGGCTGAGACATTGCCTATATATAATCCTCTCAGTACTGTTTTCGCCGAAGGGATTTTATTTAGTGTTTCGTTGTCGCTCTATTAGAAACTATGGTATGTTTCATGGGGGCGAATCCGAGAGATTCATAAAATCTTATCTTTAGAAAAAAAAATACTCTTGATGTCCATAGTTATTGCATTAACCAATAACTTGCCACTTATCAAGAATTACCGACTTAGCCTTCATCAGACTGGCACATCTGGTTGGCTGAACGGAGATTAAAGTAGGTAGGGCTAATAGTCCCTAGAAACCTATATTCGATTAAGCCATCTCGCTACCGAAGTATTCAGATACAAATGGATTTGGAAAGTAAATATAGTTATATTCATAGAACTAGACCAAATCTTATGTTTGGTATTTTACTGGGGCCTTTGAACGGCCTTGTCCAAATATCTGATATGTAAAATGGAAAAGGTATTAATTAATAAAACCATTAAAAACCATTTGGGAAACTTACGTACCTCGTACTATTAAGAGTACGTTTATAGTTTACGTACTGCTTAAGAGTACGTTTATAACATAGAGTCTAATGTGGAGGCCCGTCTATTACATTACCAGACCGCGAATGCGAACGCCCCCGACGTGAGCCGTCATCCTCTGACTCCGAGTGCCGACCACGGCGTTTCCAAGGCTTAAAATAACGCCCATCCTTATCCTTGCTATGCTATCTCTCAGGGGTCCGCTCACGAGGCGACTGCGACCTAAACGTAAAACACCTACCACCATGGCGATCACCATCCGAGTTCTTCTTCCGCTCCTTCCGGGACTTACGGATAATGTAAGCCAACTGTGCCTGCCACTGCTGTTTCTGGTTGTGTGACGGTTGCTGTTGACAACCGCCCATTTCCATCACGGCCTCCTTGGTTGCCAACGCTACCCGCCTGCTGGCCATTGTCATCTCGCGGGTTCTTCGGTTGCTGGTTGCCGGCCTTAGTCTTGCTGCTAATCCCATCCTTGGTTTTAACCAAATCAAACCAAGATGGGCCATAAAGTGCCCAAGACTGCTGTAGCCACCAACCCACTGAAAGAACATGTAGTGTATTGCGAAAAATGAGGGAGAATAATAACTCAACAGTAGCAATTTGCTCGTTAACCTCAAGCACTACCTTTTCTAATAGCGCAGACTCAGTAATTGCCTGCGCTAGCAAAAACTTACTGATATTATCTTTACTTGCTGCTCCCTCTACACGCTCCGCTTAGTAACGGCGAGCTTCCTCTGCCATTACCCGTCGTGCTTCCTCACGCGCCTGCTGCCGCACGGCCTCATCCTGCTGAGATTTTGCCCATTGCGTCTTTTCAGCGTCAGTTTGTGGGACCTTCCCACCACCTGTTGCTGCCCCTGCCGTTCCAGAATCTGGCTGAGTTGCATTAGAGTCAGGATGCCCTACCGGTTTCGAAAGAGTTGCTGGCTCCGGGACTGCTGAAGTATCTGACGTGACCGATCGCCCACCATCTGATGGCGTATGCATGTCCACACCCCGTTGCTCAGCTAAAAACACAGCTGCGCGATCGCGAGCTGTTGTGACCTCCCCACTCGAATGACGTGTTTTCACCTCGCTACGTAAGAGAGGGGTAGTGCCTGGTTCTCCTAGAAAGCTCTCGTTCTGGGCCACCATCGTGTCCCGAAGAGATGCTACAAAAATTTATGCCGAGAATTCTTCCGTTGCCGCGGCGGTCTGTGCATCACGTGACTCGTTGAGAAAGACCTTCAGCGACGCCCTAGTAACCATATACGTAAGAAGCATTTCTAACGCGTGCACCGTGACCTGTGGATCTTTCCGCAACGCCCGTGTAAAAGCCGCTACCGCTGAATGAGATATCCGGCATGCAAGGTCGCCATCGCGATCAACGACATGTGGCTACCTTGCATCCCCGGCAACATACTCCGTTGAATTAGACTATAGAATTCCGGGCCGAGATACAAGCTGAGTATCTGCTCTTTCGCCCTCCCCTGCTCGTCACCAAGATCGGAAAAGGCAGGCGATGCTATCTCGCGGCTGATCGATGCCATCCATGCGTAAAAAACACCACTTTTATTGCCAGGCAACAAGTGACGATGAAACTGTTTGGACATGGTGACAGGGCTATAT